TATGTTGTCATCTGGCTCGATCAAGTCCAACAGACCGCTCTGTTGGACCATGTGCGCATTTGATACTTTTTTATCCCAAAGTTGTGACACAAAAGTGAATGCTCCTGATGGAGTTGTTGCTAATAAAGCCTTCAGTTTGGTGTTTGGTGTGTAATTCACTTTATCGAGGTATTTTCCCCCTTTTTTCTTTTTAGGTCTTTGGGGTCCCTCAAACACTAAATCTGTGCTGTCAATCACAGCCCGGGTTTGAGGGTTAATCTCCTTGAAAGCCTCAGGTAAGAAACGCTGAATTTGTTGTCGTGATGGCCATTTGAGTAACGGTCCCATCACCTTGTACATGTACACTACCCACGTAGAAAAAGTCCGAGAGGATTGCTGATCTGAAATCCCAAACAGATCGCCTATCATAAACGCCACAAGACCAAGCCGAAACCTTATAATGGCCAATAAGAACTGTTCATAGTTACTGAGAATTGGCCAATCTGAGGTTGGTTTTGTGGCCTTGGTGTTGCCTTGATATTGTGTCACAGTACTACCGGGTAAATCACCAGTCATTACACTATTGACATTGTTCACCAGAGATGATGGTACATGCTTTTGGGGAACCTTTCTCTTTCGTTTTCCTCTCTGATTCCCTGTGGATTCTATACCAGGTTCCCCACCAGAGGTCACCAGGGGAGGCACAGCTTCAGCCTGACTGGTCAGCCCTGATTGTTGTACCAAGTTCACTGGCTGATTTTCCTTTTTAGATGGAGCCACAGGTGTCTGGCATTCTGCATTTTTCACTGGACTTTCCACTGGATACAACTGACTTTCATTCCAGTATCTTTTTCTTACATCTGGTGTGTCCAAAATATCAAAAACTCCATCTAGAATCTTTCGTGTGGGCAGTCCTGTGTAGCGTTTTATGTTTTTATCAGACGACAGGACATGTTCTAAGAATAACTCCCTGCGTAACTTGTCTGTGTCTGCAAATCTGCATTTTAAGCTGAGCATGTTCCAAAAGTATGGCCTCTAATGCTTCTCCCGTCATCTCCGTCTGCGTTGACATGTCACATATCTCCGTAAAGCCACAATTGTCAGTGGACTTGGACTTGGATTTGACTGAAGAGGTAGAAACAAAGCCATTTTTCTCTGTGGGAGAAGTGACTGCATTGTCTCTCATAGCAGTCTTAGCAGAAACTGGGGCTCCTTGTCCTTCTGGGTGTCTTGCAGATTTTGAACCTTGAGAAACAACATATTCCGTCCCCTTCCCTTCAGACTGCTTCCGCTGCTTTGTCGGCTGAGCCCCATATTCCACAGTCTCGTTGGCCCTCTGTTTCCTGAGAATTGCTTTCTGCAGGGCAGACTGAGTTGAAGACCTCCTGGTGGCATAAACAAAGGACTCGCCTGCTGCTCTGTTAACCTGATACACACCGGTTTGACTGACCACCTGTTTATCACCCCCTTGGACACTGGCCGGACTGACCACTACAGGACGGTCAGTATGTGCACCACTGGGGACTCTGCTCCCTAGGATGGGGGTGTTTAAAGGGAGGGTGGTCAGGGGTGCATTAACATGAGCAGTGGTTGGGGTCATACTGACGCCTGCACTACTCAAGGAAGTTGCAGCTGATGATTTGTGGTAAGGAACAGTGAATGTTCCCTGGGTAGTGCCAGGTTTAAGTGCAGGGCTCTTAACAAACATTGTGCTGTTGCCGGCTACTGCTGCTGTTTGCTGTAATGTCGCTGCTGCATTGTTAACTAAATACAACTGGGGGTCTGATGTGCCTGGCAGGCTGTGACCTTGACCTTGGGAAGAATCTCCTGGTATCCTTATGGCTATTTCTCCACTGGGCAGCTGAAACCTTGTTTGCTGACCTCCAGTTTGACCACTCATGGCTACCTGGACAATTGGTCGACTTTGGACATGACCAGCCGATGCCACTGACACATGGGAAGTGTACTGGGCGGCTTGGAGCAGCAATGATGCTCTATCTATATCAGGTTTCTCTGCTGGCTGTTGCTGAACACCAGACACCTGTGGCTGTTGAACCATAGTGCCAGGCACCTGTTGTGACTGCTGCTGAACACCAGGCACCTGCAGTGTTTGCACACGGACACCAGGCACCTGTTGGGATTGCTGCTGGACACTTGGCACATGAAGTTGTTGCTGAGGCAAAGACTTGTCATTGTTAGGACTGGCTCTATCAAGTGGACCAGACGTAGGTCCAGCAATGTGGTCCTCTTCTGTACTCATCTGACTGGCTGTTACACCTGGAATACACATACAACCATGAGGTTAACATAATGAATTCCATCAAATCTTCATTCTGTTGTTTTATTGTTTTTTTTTTTTTTATTGCCATATAATGATCTATCACTTTGAAGGAACTTGAGTTTTTTTTTACAAATGACCACTGAATTGGAGGCTGCTAGTGTGACATTTGATTCTGGAGGGTAAGAATACAAAAAAAAAAAAAAAAAAAAATTGGTTAAGTTCATCAAACCTTTCAGTGGTATTATTAAATACAAAATGAGTCAACTATCAGAGGAGTATATTTCACAGTACCCTTATGAGTTCATTTTTTGCTACCTTTCCAAGTCATTTTTCAGTACCCCTACAAGTGTATTTTTAGTGTACTTACAAGTACTTTTTTCAGTACCCTTACCTGCAGCAGCTATGAGCGTATCAATTCCAGACATCCCTGACACCGACACTGATCCTGGCTTATTACTGCCTGCTGGTTTAAACCTCTTACTACTGGCTGGGGGCTGATACTTCACGTCTTTGGAAGATATTCTTTTCTTCTTGTTATAACTGGGTGGAGAATGCATATACACTGAAGTTTTGGTGGTGAATGGGGATTGACCTGCAAACAAATTCACATCAAGTTCTTTAACAATTCACAGAAAGACCAGCACAAGATATTATTATGGTTAATGGTCAATGTGATAAATTTGTTATTTTTTTATTACACTTTTATCATTATTATTCAAGGTGATAGACAATGGTGCTCTAAACCTAGTTATAGCCCCAAAAAGTTCAGCTTTATAACATAGCCATGAATATTTAAGCATTCTTAAAACTTCACTACAAGCTTTAGAAACGGATTCAAGTTTTCCCAAAATGTACATTCAAACTAGCACTTGAAGCAGAAAAAAAAAGGTTAATTTCCCAAACACTCTTATGACTACTTAACCCACTCCCACTTTCCATCCGTAATGCTCCAAAAGATGCGATTGCTTATATGTAACTTTTACACAAGTAAAAGGATATAAACCAGTCCAAAGATCAAAAGTAATTTCTGGCTAATGGTAACAAAAATCATTGCAAAGACTTGTCACTGTTTCAGAAAATGGCCTTTAAAGAGGAGAAGAATTTTTTTTCAAACTTCAAAATAAAGTACCCTGCCTATGCCTCTTATTATGGACAAATGAAAACCAATCCTGCAACTCACTTGAAAAATATGTTCATCAGCATGCATTAAAGTAATGATTTATGCAAACAGAAATTTCAATCATTCAAAAACTACAAGTTTTCAGGCTATCCCACATAGTATACAATACTGAAGAGAACTGTATAGCTGGACTCACCCTAGCATAATTTTACTTTTAACCAATAGGCTAAAGAATTTCAGCCAAATGTGCTCTTAGCAAAAGCAACGAAATGTCTCTTCATAAAAATATCTATTTTAAAACACCCCAAAGGTATCAAGTGGTCGAATGAAATACTTCCTCTTTTAAATTCTAATATTGGCCAAGTGAAATCTTAATTTTGATATTATGCATCATATCGACACAACTTTGGCCAAACTTTTTTTCACAATTTTCAGAATCCAAAATATATTATCTTTAACCACCGGCAAAATATTTCACATGCTATGGTGAGCCCAGACTTTCACGTCTCACCTGCAGCAGTTAACTAAAGATCCCATCTTCACTCTTCTCTCAAAAAAGTCATAAAAGTGCTGTGGATACAGGTGCCGAAAAAATTACGTGCGCAGTCACAACAGTGTCACTACTTCTTGTCCGACTCAAAGATAGCACCATCATAAGAGAAGATCAGTTTAGACCAACACTTTTTTTGAACTGAATATGCCCTCACTGAAGATTAAAAAAGGGTCAACCTCCAACCTTCGGTATAAATGTTTCCTGTTGGAAGAAACCTTAATAGAAAAAGGTTGATTACGCCTTGGATATCATAAATCAAGAGAAGTTCAGGTGTCAGGAACCAACAAAGAAACCTTTTTTTTTTCTTTCGAATGGTACCAAACAGTTTAATACTAATATCCTGAATAACAATATCCCTGGTTATTTTAAGATGGGATCCTTGTCAACTGACAGCATGCATTTTTTTAGCCCTAAGTCAAACATCAATCAAATAGTGATTGAAATTTCACGAAAAAGTTAATGGTTCATAAATGATAATTCATTTGGTGTTATTTATTAGACAGGGAGTTTAACCTGGAGATGTCTTTTACTGAGTTTCAAGCAATGGCGATTGCACTGCTTGGTGTAAATATTTTGCTGCTATATTACTATGATATTTTCAATGTTTACGATAAATACATCACCATCATCATCATCATCATCAATGTCATCAGAAACAGGAAGCAACCCCCACCCCTTTGCTTTCATATTCTATCATAAAAAGGCAGATTGATCACCCAGCCCTGACCAAAAGGGGAGAAAAGATGTACCCTACAGAAGTCATTCAAATTTTCATATTTCTAGAGAAAACTTATAAAATGGGGGAAGGGTGGGGATTGGACAGCGATAACGGACACTCAAGAAAATGACTTTGGTGCAATAAATCTGAAAATGGTAAGATTTAACCATTTCTCAGAACTGCCCACTGGCAAGTAAAGAAGGCAATACAAAATTTTGCCTAAGTTTAAATTACCTCCTCAAGTCTACAATTATCAAACAAACTGCTTTTTCATGAAAAAAATATAATAAAATAAAATTCTATTTTAAAAATTATAAAAAACCACACAGGATAATCACTCGACACTCACCACATTTTGGATTTGGCAGGAATCTGAAGGCTTTAAACTGACTGTCGCCTTCCTTATTCCGCAGCTCTTTTACTTCTTCAATATCTGGTGCCTTATTAATGGCCATTCTCAGCCTGGTCTTTAACATGGCATAGTTAGGGTCCTCCCCATCATGGAACCTTCCAGTGTGGATTGACCATTTCTGAAAATATCACGAAATGACAATTCATGAAGATTAATAAGCAGTTGATAGTTAACAGTTGATATATATATATATATGAATATATATCTTATTTATCTTTCTCTGGATTTACACTGATTAAGAATGTTTATCTTTAAAGGGATAATAACTCTTCGTTTCGGCCAAAAAATGAATTTTCCTGGAGTAAACAACAATTTTCCCATACTTACCGATGGTAAATGAATCCATTTTTACATTCAAAGTTAGTCCCTGGTTTTTTTCTAAAAAGTTTGGTTTTTTGTTAAAATCTCTTAAGAGATTATAACAGAGTATAGCCATCAATGGAGGTCACGTGGTATGCAGACAAGCTCAGACATCAGAATAATAGCTATAACTGCCGTATTTGTGGTAAAACAGAATATATTATATTTCTATGAGTTATTCACAATGTTTTTATTGTGAAATATAGATCTCATACTAAGAGTTATTATCCCTTTAAATAATTACTATGAAGACTGTCCCCTTCATGAGGTCTTTGCCAGATGGCTCAAGTCAACCATCAACTGCTTACTATCTGCAGTTGAAACCATTTTAACCTCTTGCTTGAATATAGATAATCTGATCCGAAGGCAGTCGCCTTTATAATATTTTATCAGAAAGTTTACTTTAATATGCCATCTTTCTTTTACACATTTTTTTTCTGTTAGTCTTATTAAATTCATCATAAAAAATATTTTTTCACATTAAAAAAAAAGTTTTCTTCACACTATCACATTAATAATTACTTTGAATATGAGTCCATCTGTGGCGGTGAAGGTAGTCTTGGCACCATGTTTCCAGGGTATTCGGAACAGCGTCCTCTCATTATCTATCCAGTTGAGACCAGGAATCTCACCACTTTCTATCTGGGCTTCCAGCCATGGGCGCAACAACAGGCGCATCTGAGGCTCCCCATCTCCCTCCTCATCTAGAGCAAACAGGAAGAATTGCCATATATTGATACTTACATACAGAAACTATTCAATCATGTCAGTTTTCCTTTTGTTGTAGCCAGTAATCTATATGCATGTCTTATCAAAATATACAAAGGAATGAATGGAGCGCACATATACACCTATGGAAAAAGATGAAAGGCACTTGAATGAATTTGTGAACATGACACAACCAGTTAGTCTATCACAAAAAAAAAAAAAAAAAAAAAAATTGTCTTTCTGTGCAAATCTTTATATATCTGTTTTTCTCCCTATCTGTCTGTCTCTTGCTAAAATTTCCACCACATCTTAAAATGAGTTCAACACGGTAGTTACTTTTTCTTGAAAGAGCACCAAGAACTGAAATATACTGGATTCACTGAAACCCCAGTCTTACCACTTTGACTTTCATCCTTGTTATCCATCTTGGACACTGCATAGTCTACCTCCTCGCTGTCATCAGGGGGCTCTTCTTTGATTTGCATATCTTCTTCAAACTGAGTCTCCTTATCTTCTGTTTCCATTCTGTTACTGGCCATAAGTGAAACTGAATGTCTGAAACCACAACAGAACTTTATTTTGATTGGTCCCAACAGATATCTATAAGAAAACTCGACTCAACTGTGAAACTAAGGACCAGTCATAACGTTGCCATACAGATAGGTAATCATCATGATGTGAAAGGGGCCTATGAATCTACTGCCCCTAAAGCAGAGAATGTGGCTAGTTTGATAAAGAAGTTACTTGGTAAATTTCATTAAAACCAATTCTATAAAAATCTAAAAGTGAGAAAAAGAAACTGAATCTCTGGTCACAAAACTAATGAATCAATCTTATGTCAACTTTGGCACTATAGGACATGTCAACTACAACTATAAAATCATAGAAAATGCTGTACATAGCACACATAAAAATTGATCTGAAATGTTTATTGACCAATTTAAAATATAGGTCAAGGACATGTATTAGATAAATTTAGAATAAAGGTCAAGATCACAATGAATTTACGTAACAAAATAATGCTTATATTCATAAATGAATAATCACATAAAGCTTAACTAAATACTATTAGCCAGATTTTTTAAACTGTCAAATTTGATACTGCTTTGCCAGAAAATTATGTAAAATACATTTAATGGGTAGCTGAAAAAATTAAATAAATATAAATAAATTTAGAAAAGTGGATAAACCCCTAATACTGATAAACATTTAAATAATTGGTCTAAATACCCTAAAATAACTGACTGAAAATAATTCACCATATGAACAACATTGTCACACGTAACACCGACCTTTTCAATAAGAAAATTTGCCTCATATTCAATCATCGAAAATTGATTTTCAGCTAACTGTGATCAAAAATAGCCCACGCAATATCAATGAACTGTTTACAGTGCTATTCGGGATGCTGAAACTAGTTTAAGGACGAAACGAAACGTGGCCCCTCGACAAACAAAAGTGGTTGACCTCCCACATGCCCATCCCTGAACGCGAAAGTCAACGCGACCCCACAGAAATAAACACACAGCAAAATAAGTATACTTTTGTAATTCATTAATATCAAATATTAAGTATCAGTTTTACTCACACTTTGTAGCTTTATACTTTCATTGTGGCAAAATATTGGGCAAAAAACTTCGCAATTTTGACCCACTTTCTCCCTCCATTTTGTCTAATAAAGCTTAGCTACGGGCTTAAAACGAAAGTGCTTTGATAAAAGCAAATTTGATGTGAAATATTTACACGAGCAGTTATCTTAAAGCAGATATATATACTGATATTATTAATTCAAAGATGTTGCAACGCTTTCTATATTTTGTTTAAAAATACAATTCCAAATATCTTAAGTCCGTAGCTAGTATTTGACCTTTCACCTGAGAACGAGACCATGACCTATTTATCGTAAGCACTATGGGTTGAGAATTGGAACAGTCAAGTAAAGCTTCGTAAGGTTTTGCATTAAAATGGAAAGGTTAGTGCTTATCAAATTTATTCTTGGACTTATACTTTTACCACGAAGCGATCGATTTTAGTGACATATATGCAAGAAAATTGTCAGAAAAGGTAGAAATGTTAGCTGTTTACAATTTGTCACCACCCCCACTCCCTAATTTCCTGTGCAAACTGAGTCATCAGTTGACGCGTTTTTGTTTAGGAATTAAAAAAAAAAAGAATACTGCAAATTGACATAACTTTGTTTTCCATTAAAACACAATGTAAAACAGTTGTCAAGTGTCACGTTGGACTGATCAAATACGTAAGGGATCACCATTCTAAAAAGTTAAATTTGTAAACATGAAAACATAAGAAGCAAACGCCTGCGGTATTTAGTTTGAGATCAAGAATGAACCAAACCTTGAGTCACACATTGAAGCACAATGATGCGTGGGAGAGATAAAACAGTCACTCTTCTATATTCAATTGGACTCTAACATCTATTTCCTCTTTTGACTTCCTCTTTGTGGTTTTAAGTTACTAAATACCGAATTTTATTTCCTCAGGAACAGAATGGAGCGGTGAGAACAGAAGAAACTCAGAGAACAGCAACAATGGAAGGTTAGTAGCTTCAAACTCAATTTTATTTATTTGTTAATACATACTATGCCTTTAAAATAATGATGAAATGATAAGTTTATAATTGGGTTAAAGTTTTTGCCTTCAGATAAAACTTGATTTTGTGTTTGAAAGCTTGATGGGACGGGAAACATAGGCTGTGTTCACAAGTAGGATAGTTCTATCTCAGCGGAGATTCTTGCTAAGATGCAGTCAGTATAATCAGTTTAATTGTCTGGCACGCCCCCTCGCAAAAGCAACCTGAACAACATTATTGACCACAAAGTTTTCATGATCTAACCCAAGAATGGAAGGATTTGCCAGAAAATTAAGCTGCTTACATTAACTGCAGTCATGCTTAAATACGCAAAAATGCGCAAAGATGCAACAAGACAGGTTAATTGAATGAATAAACACCAACTTGTTTTGTTCTATTTTATATAAAATCTGTGATTAAGTTTTTTAACAAAAAAGTGGATTAAATCACCTTTTATGTGTATAGAAAGCCAAAAATCCTATTGTTTAAAGAAATAGTAATGTGTCGAGGCCTAAGATAAAGTGTTTGAGTCATGTAATTTATTCTTCTGTTAAATTGACATCAAATCTTCGTAAATTAAAATAAAAAAACAGTGCACTGTTCAATTCAAATGGAGTTTTAATTCAGTACAAAGTCAGTATTCAGTATAAAGATTGTTTTTATCTAAAATGAATATTGTTGATTTTATTTAAGACAAAGGAATAAATGGGATAATATAACTTGTACGTGTAGTGTACTAGTCAGGTGGCTTCATAACACAATATAAACATTGATAAAATAGGCTATCTTAGGGTCAAGGCTGCATAATCTGACCTATTTCGAAAAAAGATAAAAAACATCAACTAAATACAGGGGCCTAAGAAAAGGACTGCTTTTCCATCGATATTTCAAGTTTCTTCCATGATTTGATTTTAGACATAGTAGACAATGATGGAAGGTATTTTGTATTATCTTTTAACTAGTGTTATCATATGACAACCTTTCAGTATGTTTTCTGTCTTTTGTAGTCCTGGAATATAACTAGGAGCAGGTGACCTAGGGCGTATTCCCAGACATTTAGATCGATCTATCTCCGTGGGGAGTCTCGCTAGGTTACTGTCATATAATCCGGCTTAAATGTCCGTCCCGCCTACTACAAGCTGTAAGGGGGTAATTAACTTTCGTGCCCGCTCGGCTGACAGCTGTTTAGCGTGAACCCCCAGGGAGTTAGGTCGATCTAGTTTGGATCGATCTAATCTGTGGGAATGGGGTCCTAATGACAGGTCTGTCCACTTGCTCAGTTTCACTTGGTAGGCCTTGGTGTGAGCCCTCCCCCTTTTTTTACTGGTTGGAGTGGGGGGGGGGGGGGGGGGGAGAGTGTGGTTTGTATATCTATGATCCATTTTCATTTTTTATACATTATCTTGCACCTGTAGATGAGTCAAAGGATGTTTTATACTGAGGTGATAATTGTTAAATACTAGTTAAGTATGGTAGTTGTCTCTCTTGAAAGGGATTAGAAATTGTTTTTATTCAGGTTTGTTGTTAGCATTTTATGGCATAAGATACATTTGAAGACCATATTTTTTACCAGAAAGTGGAAAAATGTAGAATTTCATTTATTAAAGATTTCAAGCTTACTAGTAATACAATCCATACTGATTGAAGTCTCTTTGTTGTATTTTTGCCTTGGATATCATAAAGTCGGTTTCTGGTTTCAGCAGTACTTTATCTGATTGATCCTTGTATATATTACAAGGGCATTTCTTTGTATTATAAAGACCTGCAATTTGTGGTCCCAATAATTGGCTAATTATGCAAGGTGAGATGGCTATATTTTTGTGGAAAGAATACGTGTCCATTAGTTGTGGTCTCAGATCTAGGTTTGTTTTGCTGTGTTTGGTGCTCTCTAACAGGATGTTATTAGAACATGGAGGTGCAGCTGTCAGGTTTTAGGAAATAACAAATTGGGTTTGGATTCTCAGTGCCTGTTAGTATGGAGGATGTCTGAAGGGATCATTTGCCAAATTTTGGAACAGTGAAAAAATGAAGTCTTTCAAAAGATTTATTTATTTTTTAAAAAATTTTTTAAATTAATTAATTAATTTATTTATTTTGTATGTGTGTGTGTGTGTGTGATCAGTGAATGATGTCTGTCTTTCCCAGCCTTTGCTTCAGTTTTTTTGAAGGGAACATCAGCGAGAAACCTTTTGTGACATTTTGACAAATATATATGTGTGTGTGTGTGTGTTATTAATCATTACTGATATAATCTCACCTTAAAAATGATCAGATTAATTGTTTTGTTGAGTCTTGATGTGCATAATCTGGGTGTTGCGTCCCGTAGTGCGAGTAAAAAAAAACATCATACTTAACGCGCGGACAACTGGCGGATCATTGAGCATTCATTCTGCAACTGAAGCAATATCTACACAGTGACACAGTGCTGCCATTTTCTTGGTCGGGCAAAGGACGCAGAAAGGACACTATCCACTGTAAAGAAACGACTGTTAGGAGTTTATTGCTCCACTTGTCTCTAGGTGAATGTTGCTGATATAAGGTGACAGTCACAGAAATATTGGAGGTAATACCTACCCACATATTTTATAAGCTCTTGATAAAAAGAAAAACAATAATTTAAACCTTTACCAGTTTTTTTTTTTTTTTTTTTTTCATAAATTGACAGCTAGAATTGTAGTTTAGAGAGGGGAGAAGGATACTAAGTATTTCCCCTAGATGGAGGCTGTTCATCTGGATAGGTTCATTACCTGGTGAAGATGGTCTAAATTGGCATCAAACTATTGAAGTTAAAGAAAAGTTTCATCTATCTTGCGGTTCATTGACAAAAAAAAAAAAAAAAAAAAAAAAAATGACTGCTTTCTTCTAAACTCCAGACAATAAGCAGTCAGTTTGCTGATGAATATCTTTGTTGACCTTTCATGAACCTGACCACCTACAAAATGACACCTGCTGCAAGCTTCCTTGACTGCAGTCTTTCTGGACACATTGCTTCATTTCCTTATCCTGGTACAGGCTGAAAAAATGTACTAAGCAAAGTGCTTGATTCATTTTCAAAATAATTGGGTTTGTCAGAGAATTTCAGTAGGCAGTAGGTGGGGGAGGGGGAGGGGAGCAAGTATTTCTCCTGAATAGAAGCTAAATTTTCACTTGGATAGCCTCATTCACTGGTGAAGAGGCTCTGACAGATATCAAATACTGGATGTAAACAGTTTCAATATAAGCTTTTGATTGAAGAGAAAATGACTTTATTCTCAATGTTTTTTTTTTATTATTATTATTTTCTTGTCTCATTCACAATAGAAAAATTATTCTAACTTCAAATTTTGTAAACCGCGATGTCTACACCTGGAAAAATAGGAAATGTTGTTTTTAATTTTTTGTAAATATTTGTTAAGACTGACAGCAATGTACTTCTCATACTAGTACTTAATTTCTAGACTTCAGAATACAGTGCAGTAAGTGCAGTTAAATGCCATGATAATTATATTCAGGTTTATTACATGTATACATGTCCATTAAGTGTCTGAGTATATACAGTTGATGAAGTGTTATGTTTACTGGAGGTTTAAATTGAACATCTGACATGAAGCAGAGTAGAAAAGAGGTCTTTTAGATCTTAGTTGAAAGAGATTTTCATTAATATAATTTTGACATTAATAATTAGTCTACAGTCTTCTCTCTCTCTCTCTCTCTCTCTCTCTCTCTCTCTCTCTCTCTCTCTCTCTCACACACACACACACACACACACATTTACTAAGAATATAAACAGGCAAGGAAATTAATTTAACAGCAGCAAGGAAATTGATTGTGTGACAGAAATGATATAGCGAGAATGCCACAGTGAACTCAGTCATGAGGATGTTAATGAATAATAACAGTCACAAATGTAGCACATTACCATACTCTTAACATGTTTACAAAAGAAAAATATTTTACCTTCCTTGAAATATAGGAAAAAAGACTATATATATATGCTTGACAGCAAATTTATTCTCTCAGCCTACAGCCTGTCCTGTTTCTGGGGCACTTCCCTCAATGTCAAAGGCAAAACAACAGTGCCATACTGATTTTCTTTTTGTTACATTGTTCATGGTTCCAAGATTTGGTATATATATACTAACAGTTAAGTGATAAGGATAATTTACTCCTTTGGAACTTAAAATATTTATGAAACACCTTTTTGCCATTGTTACTACCGTGGGTGGAATCATTTACAGTTCAATCAACACATACCCAACAACCTGTGCCCAAATTGGAACATACATCTTGATGAAGCTCTTGTTGAAGGATCAAAACATGGCTGTTTCATAAATACTTAATATTCCAAGTCAATAAAAAGTGGACATTATTGCTATAAAAACCAGCAGTTGCCCTTGGAAGTATAGGTAGTTTTAGCTTTTATAAGCCCCGTGCTCTGAATTTAAATTTCACCTTCAGTGTACATCTTATGGTCAGATTACATGAGCAACAAACATTAGAATCCTGTCCAATGTTTCATGTTGACGTTAGAATGCTTCCAAACTAGATAATAAGAAGAAAAGAAGTGCAGGTCATTTACCTTTTTGGACTGTGATGAATAGCATGGTTTAGCATGTTATGTTGTCCTGATAACATATTATAAACCTAAACATAATCATCTTAGCACAACATAAGGGCGGAAAAAATATATTTTTGGCAAATTTTAATTTGTACAGATTGTGTATTTATTTTATTATTATAATTTTTTTTAATTTAAATTTTTCTAAATNTTTCCCCTAGAGGGGGGCTTTCCATCTGGATAGGTTCATTCCCTGGTGAAAATGGTTTAAATTGGCATCAAACTATTGAAGTTAAAAAAAAATTTCATCTATCTTGCTTTTTATTGAAAAAAAAAAAAAAAAAAAAAAAATGACTGCTTTCTTCTAAACTCCAGACAATAAACAGTCAGTTTGCTGATGAATATCTTTGTTGACCTTTCATGAACCTGACCACCTACAAAATGACACCTGCTGCAAGCTTCCTTGACTGCAGTCTTTCTGGACACATTGCGTTCATTTCCTTATCCTGGTACAGGCTGAAAAAATGTACTAAGCAAAGTGCTTGATTCATTTTCAAAATAATTGGGTTTGTCAGAGAATTTCTGTAGGCAGTAGGTGGGGAGGGGAGCAAGTCTTTCTCCTGAATAGAAGCTAAATTTTCACTTGGATAGCCTCATTCACTGATGAAGAGGCTCTGACAGATATCAAATACTGGATGTAAACAGTTTCAATATAAGCTTTTGATTGAAGAGAAAATGACTTTATTTTTAATGTTTTTTTTTATTATTATTATTATCTTGTCTCATTCACAATAGAAAAATTATACTAACATCAAATTTTATTAAGCCGCGATGTCTACACCTGGAAAAATAGGAAATGTTATGTTTTCTGGAAAAATAGGAAATGTTATGTTTTTAATTTTTTGTAAATATTTGTTAAGACTGACAGCAATGTACTTCTCATACTAGTACTTAATTTCTAGACTTCAGAATACAGTGCAGTAAGTGCAGTTAAATGCTATGATAATTATATTCAGGTTTATTACATGTATACATGTCCATTAAGTATCTGAGTCTATACAGTTGATGAAGTGTTATGTTCACTGGAGGTTAAAATTGAGCATCTGACATGAAGCAGAGGAGAAAAAAGGTCTTTTAGATCTTAGTTGAAAGAGATTTTCATTAATATAATTTTGACATTAATAATTAGTCTACAGTCTTCTCTTTCTCTCTCTCTCTCTCTCTCTCTCTCTCTCTCTCACACACACACACACACACATTTACTAAGAATATAAACAGGCAAGGAAATTAATTTAACAGCAGCAAGGAAATTGATTGTGTGACAGAAATGATATAGCGAGAATGCCACAGTGAACTCAGTCATGAGGATGTTAATGAATAATAACAGTCACAAATGTAGCACATTACCATACTCTTAACATGTTTACAAAAGAAAAAGATTTTACCTTCCTTGAAATATAGGAAAAAAGACTATATATATGCTTGACAGCAAATTTATTCTCTCAGCCTACAGCCTGTCCTGTTCTTGTGACGCTTCCCTCAATGTCAAAGGCAAAACAACAGTGCCATACTGATTTTCTTTTTGTTACATTGTTCATGGTTCCAAGATTTGGTATATACTAACAGTTAAGTGATAAGGATAATTTACTCCTTTGGAACTTAAAATATTTATGAAACACCTTTTTGCCATTGTTACTACCGTGGGTGGAATCATTTACAGTTCAATCAACACATACCCAACAACCTGTGCCCAAATTGGAACATACATCTTGATGAAGTTCTTGTTGAAGGATCAAAACATGGCTGTTTCATAAATACTTAATATTCCAAGTCAATAAAAAGTGGACATTATTGCTATAAAAACCAGCAGTTGCCCTTGGAAGTATAGGTAGTTTTAGCTTTTATAAGCCCCGTGCTCTGAATTTAAATTTCACCTTCAGTGTACATCTTATGGTCAGATTACATGAGCAACAAACATTAGAATCCTGTCCTATGTTTCATGTTGACGTTAGAATGCTTCCAAACTAGATAATAAGAAGAAAAGAAGTGCAGGTCATTTACCTTTTTGGACTGTGATGAATAGCATGGTTTAGCATGTTATGTTGTCCTGATAACATATTATAAACCTAAACATAATCATCTTAGCACAACATAAGGGCGGAAAAAATATATATTTTTGGCAAATTTTAATTTGTACAGATTGTGTATTTATTTTATTATTATAATTTTTTTTAATTTAGATTTTTCTATATNATGCAAGAAGAAGTAGATTGTATCATTCTGTTATAACCATTATTGGTTTTGGCCATGTCTTTTAATTGTCCATGAAAATATGGTATTAGGCATTAAAAATAGAAATATAGACATTGTGTAGAGCTGGTTGCTTAAACACTGAACGGATGTCTTTCATCAGTAACCTGTACTAGTCCCTTCTACCCCAGGTGAACTTTGGGTTGGCTACAAGGCAGGGCTTTGCAATTGAGCCTTCCTTCTGAATACATACATATTTTTATAACAACCTCTCTGGATGAGACCTTACGAGCCCCCCACCTCATTTCTGCCAACTTATTCTCATAACAATGAAACAGAAAGTACTGCATAGAAGCAATGTAGGTGTGAGGGTAAACAAGATAACTCGGACTTTTTTCTAGTTGTAAAACAGAGAAATCTGAATTTAGATCATTGGTTAAACCAAGGTTATTTTAATGTTTTGAAAAAGTCTAGGTTTGATTTAGGAATCAGCTGTATATAAATATATTTATTATTTAGATATCTTAATAACCAGGCATTTATATGCCTCATGACAGAAAAATCAATGTGAGAGCTGAGTTACGGTTCTGGTTGTTTACCTAACTGAAAAGCCTGTTAACCCACTGAGATAGAATTCTTTGAAATGTTTTTTAACCAGAATCTAAAAATAACTCGAAGCAGAGTTATTCACTTTTTATGAAGGATACAAAAGTGACAAAAAACACTGTTTACCAGTGGTTTAGGACAACACTCAAAGTAAATTAATGTAAAATGAAAAGTGCCAGAGGAAAGTCCAGATTCCTTGCAATGCTAGCTTAAGAGGCTGCACATTTCAGGTACATACAGTACTAGTAATTTAGTGAGATATGTTTGTCTTGGTCAGCAAAGATCAGTGGGTTTCATAAACTTGATAAAGGTAAAATTGTTCTTTTGCATTTAAACTTCAGTCAGCTTAGCGACTTTGCCTGGAAACAAAGTTTGTTTAATCTCCGTTTGGGGGTGGGGAGGTGAAATTTACAGGTTGGCATGGAGTTTACTTTATGGAAGAGTGTAATGCGCTGAGGCATGAGATTTTTGCGTTTAAGTAGCTGACATAGTTTTTAGCTAAATCCTGGATATTATTACAATTTTATGCAAAGATCTAGAGAAGTTAAAATTGGATAAACTTATTGCATAGACGGGTTTAGTACGATTTATCTTGTAGGTCTCCTAGGTAGTCTTCCTTCTTGAATGGTCAAGATGAACAGTTGTCTGAAGGTATAGGTTTGAAATATGAAATTATTATTATTGATAATGATGAGTGTGGAATAAGAGAATGGCCTTTGCCAAATCTTTCAAAAATGAATTATGGTGAAATGTTGAATGTGAGAAGAACAGGTTAGGTAATTTAACTGGCATGTGGTTTCTTAAGTTGTTAAACCCACTTTTTCAGACTCAGCCGAGGTGGAGATGAAAACTCAAAACGAAGAGCATGATCAGGGCAGTCTGACCTTTGATCCGACCCAGACAGTCTTCCTGGACCAATTCGTTACAGAGGATGATGACATGGCAGACAAGGCAGCTCTGGACCTCAGTATGAAAAAGCCATCGCCAAGCAACCACGTAGCTCCGCCCCTTGTTACACCTACCAACCAGGATATCTCCACCCATTGTCATGGTAACCCTACTATTGCTAGGGGCAACCAGGTCCACGTGCAACCCAGTTATAAAGGTGCTTTTAATGAAAGTCCTCCAGTTATCCACCTTGGTGCTAGGGCAACTCCATCAAGTGGGATGCCAATTGCAGATAATAGAAGTGGAAGTAATAATAATAGTTTAAGCAGGGTAAACAGGACATCTGAACCAAGACAAGACGCAGCCAAAGGTGTGATGCAGATCCCGCCAGGGGCCTTTCAAGAAAATAATGATATGGCAGCGTCTGGTAACCATGAAGGAGGATTTGTCAGGAATGTGCCACACTCCAAAGGTGACAATAAATCTTTGTATTTTAACTTGTCGTGACGCTAATGAGATTGTGATGAATAATGCAATGTAAGTAGGTATGGAAATGCTGAATGTTAAATACATTGGTCGGTACATTAAATTTGAAAAAAAATTATATTTCTTAAATTCAGAATTAACTTAGAATATCTGAAAAAGATAAGAAGAGTATAGTAAATAACTTGATGGGTTCAAGAAAAAAGGTATTGAGGACCCAAATACTCTTTGTTGTATCATAGCATAGTTGGAGTCCGTAAGTGTTTTAAATCCAAATGCCTTAGATTTTAACTAGGTTAATTTGTGGTTTCCGGGTTCCTTGACTTGTACAGCTTTCAGATGGCTTAAAAAATGGGATGGTTGATTTTAATTGAAAGTATTTCTCTTAAACTCAGTTGTGTAGTTGTTTTGTTTCCATTCCTGTATGAAACAGGATGTTCACTTCCTACAGGTTGTGCTTAAACCTAGCCCTTTTCCCGAAACAGATACTGTGAACTACTAGTGTGCCTTTTTATTGAGACAAGAACACTGATTAATGATGTCCTTGTCTGTGAACTACTAATACATCTTCAGTGCATTAAATGTTCACAATCAGACGCATTATATCAGAATATCCTGTATCAGATCACGTTAGAATTTTCTTCATGTGGATGATGTTCTACACAACATTTATTGCAGCACAATGTGATAAAGATTGCACCAAAAAGTGCTTACTAGGTATGTCAGGTTTTTGTTATGTATTGTACAATACTATTTAATAAGAAAACATACACAAAGAAAATATTTTAACGTACAGACTTTGAAGTACTTTTCTTTCATTTTTATATTTTCTTTTTTTCTTAGATGGAAAGTGTGCCAGAGTTGCCCCACAGATTAGAGGGCCAGGTGCAGTTGCCATGGAAACAGCCCAAGGGGTAACTACGGACTTAACTCATCATCTCTTACCAGTGTCAAGCAGGCAGGCCAAGTGGGCTCCCATTGCCATTGGAAACCATCCACAACGATGGCCAGCTGGTAATGCCGTTGTCATGGAAACCAGCCACAGCATGGTTTCCATGGAAACCAGTCACAGCAAAGCAGGTCATGTTGCTATTGGCCACCATAGAGGAGGAACTTCTCCCGTAACTTGGCAAAGTACAGGAAGGGTAAACATGCTCCCAAAATCTGTAGTGTCCCAACCCAGGTTTGAGCCTAGATCTCAACAAGAGGGATCGGAATCACAAGGTTCAGTTCCGTTTGCAACTGCTGAACCATACTCGAGCTTGCATTTAAATCTGCTGTTTATTGATAGGGCAAAGCTGAGTAATCCTAAAGATGAAGAATTGTCTGACGTGTGTGGGTTCGTGTCAGAGGAACTCCATGAAAACTCGAGTGAAATTCTACACTATTACTGCAGCTTCTGCTCTTACAAAACAACCGACCAAGAGACATTCACGGAACATATCCTGGTGCACATGTTCGTTTGCAAATACTGTGGCTACCTCACATATTCAAGGTTCTTCCACTTGCTACATCTCCAGCAGTGCCACCCACACCTAGGTTACAATATTAAGAATTATCGAGTTTGCAAAGTCCAGATATCTGCTTCCCCAGAGCAAGAACCACAAGAGGTGGTGGAGCCCATGCACGATGGGGGGTTTTATACAGATGAAGATGCAGTTGTTCCTGTGAGGGGTGCTGTTGGAAGGGCAGAAACTCCCAGGGACCACCCTAGGGGTCCTGTTCTGTCTGGTCATACAAAATCCAATACTGCTACTACAATCCTCAGGGAGCAAAGTTGTCAGACAGATGACAACAATGACAGCCGTCAAGATGATAATGACTATATTCCCAGGGAGAATTTTTTGCATCCTCATTGGGAAGCTGCTGGCAGTGGTCAACAAAGCAGAAGTTGCTCAACTTCGCCTCTGAGGCCAGTGGGTTCACTGGTCACCTCATATCACAGTCACCAAACCACCTCCAACAGGGGGACACCCATTCTTTCTCCTAGACAAGACAACAGGATGAATACTGCCACCAGTAATAATGACAATCTAAAAACGACTTTGAATATGTCAGGTGGAAGCATCATCCCAAAACAAGAGGGGGGTTTGAGAAGTTGTCAGGGCCATGCCCCGTTGAGCTCGTTGCCAAGGACACAGTCATTTCAGACACCTCAGAATTTCAGTGGAAGAAACAGTACAGGTCATCAAGATGGTAAGCTGAATTTTGTCCATGGTACTAGGACGGGTTTGGACGATGAAAGAACACCTAGCATTGGTAATGACAAGGAGAGTCGGATGCATGAACAGAGAGATGGCTCTCCCTTTAGTTCAACTAGTGTTCACATGGTGTACAAGCCTCAGATTCAGTCAGGTGGTGCTGTTTTAGAAAGTAGGTCACACACAGCCATCTCCCAGCCAGAAACACGTGCCATAAGATATATGAACACTGCAACCCAGGAGGACAAGGCAATGAAACCGTCACCCCCATTGGCACATCAAAATTCTTCCAAATCTTTCCAACAGGGTCATGAGAATGAGAAAGGATTGCTACTTCCACCTCCTGCCCACTCACATCCTCCTCCTTGCAGCAGTGTTTCTCAATCCTTCACCAGTCAACAACGATCTTCAGCTGTTGTTCAATCGTCTATGGCAACAGACCATAGGGGGCAGTGGTGTCCCACAGCAGCCATGACAGGACAGGGTTCCAGTTCAGCAGTCCAGCATCATCAGGCCAGCTCAGTACAGACATTCCACCAACACCACCAACAGGGCCTTAGCACTGATGGAGCTCCTGGTACCATCATGAAGAGGGGAGCAGTAGTGTCCAATACCAGTGGTCATCTTGCCACATTTTGCGGTACTAGCCAGCAACAGCATCAGGTGCCCTCATACTTGACCCCTGCACTGCCCAGTAGTTCATCAGCCTCGGGTAGCTATAGACCTGTGCACACCTTACAACCTCCTCCTCCTCCTAGACCTGCTGCCATGGCAACGACAAGCACCTTTGTCCCTCGCATGCCAGGGATGCCAGTTGGCATGGTGCCAGTTGTGAACCCAAAGTCGATACACCCCCCTCCTCAGTTTAGAATGCGCCACCCACAGCCTCAAGCAGTGACTACTGTTCATTCTGCAAGTCAGAGCCCAGGGAGTAAAACAGTGCCAAGCACAAACAGTGACAAGAAAAATGACATCTCTTCTCCAATCAAGGTAAAAAAGGAGCCCCAGGATGTTGTTGAACTTGAGGATGGTGTATTGGACTTGTCTATAAAAGACAAAACTGCTCCTAAGGTGGCTAGCTTCCAGGCTGTAACCACACCTACACTGCCATCTAGTGGTAGTTCTCAGAATGTTACACCTAGTGGTAGTTCTCAGAATGCCACACTGCCATCTGGTATGCATTTCCTTCCAGCTCCATCTGTGTCATCATTTAGTATGTTACCAGCTCAGGGGGCAATGTTTCCATTCCCACAGCAACCAATGTTGAGAATGCACCCTTTTATGGCAGCTCCAGTTAACCCTGCCTACCCCATGTTACCAGGGAACATTAACCCTTCGGTACCAGGTACCTTTAACCCTTCACATCTCATGATGCCTGGTCCTATTAACCCTTCAGTGCCAGCTACCACGCACCCATCAATGCCAGGAACTGCTAACCCTTTATTGCCAGGTTCTTTTAACCCTTCATTGCCAGGCACTGTTAACCCTTCGGTTCCCACATTGCCAGGAGTACCTCAGGTCTCACGGAGAACTCTGACAGGGGGGTCTATCACCCTGGTCCCAGGGTCGGGGCCTGCATGGACCCCTCAGTCCAGTCCCAGTAAGCCTACTGACAGTGAAAAGGGTCAAACCGAGGAGAATATGGAGCAGAGGGACAGACCACAGGCAGAAAATCCACCAGAGAGACAGACAGATGGACAAACGGAGCCAATGGATCACAACCTGTCGGCTCCAGGACCCCAGGCTGCAGCAGAGGAAGACCCTGCTGTGCAGAATGCTGCTGAAATTATATTGAATCTTGGGAAAGACAAAATGATGCCAAGACCTGGAGAACAGGTCAGGAAGAGGCCTGGACAGGGGGTGGACATTGGGCAGTTGGCGGTGAAAAGAAAGAAGGGGAGGATGAATTACGAGGAGGAGTTTTACTCTGGGTCAGGTGTGTATAGGTAGAGCTGGCTCATGGGAACATATAAGGATGAACCATTTGCTTAATTTTGTAATATTTAATGTTTTGGACAATTTATGGGGGATTTGGTAAAAACACCCAGTTGTCTGTCTGAAAAAGAACATCAAGTGTCATCTTCTTATGATGATTTGCTGTATTAAGATATTTCCAATGAATTTAGTGGTGCATGGTAAATATTCAAGTTTTCTTTTTATTCAGCCTCACAGAATAGCTCTCCTGCACCTGAGCATCGCCATGACAACAGGATGTTGTTCCGCAGTTACTCAGATTCTGGGCATTTCCGTAACCAAGATGATCCACCACCATTGCTCACACCAGGAACACCTCAGGAGGTAGGAAGTTTCAAGATCCTCTTGTGGTGATTGGGGAAGTTTCAAGAACCCATTTTGGTGTATTGATTTTTAAAAGAATTTTTTAATTTTATGGTCCAAAATGTGGATATTATGTAGAATTAGTCTGATGTTCTTTTTCTGAGCTTGTTTGAGATGGAGATCTTTTGTGCCCAGTTTTGTACATCTGTATGTTATCTGTAGAGTCATTAGTTCATTTATGAAGATGTTTGGAACAACGGAGATTACAGGAACTTATCTTTGGTAAAAATTTCATTATGTTTTATTTTAATTTCATATAAGAATGTTTCTTGTTCTTTCAGTCTCACCACCCCAATGATACCCCTCCTAGATTATTCAGTGCCTTAGCCGACCCTGCTACAACTGCCAGGCGAGGTCCTGGACGTCCTCCAAAATACCTCAGAACTGAAGGTGGCGACAGTGATCAAGGCAGCCCAGGAGCAGAGGGGAAGATTTATGCCAAGAGAGGCCCCAAGCCTGGACATTGTGAGTATTGGTTGCTGAGGTTTGGCCTCTTGAAGAATCTTCTAGAGGCCAAAAATCTCAATATGGTGTTACAGTTAATAAAAATGTAAATTGTTTCTAAAGGTATGAAATGTGTTTTCTATTTGTGAGACACACTGTTTCAAACCTTAATCAAAGGGCAAGTCATGTGATAAGAAAAAAATGTTTTAGCTCTTTATAACAATAATGTTTGTTTAGTTATCATTACACAAGAGAGGCTGAAAACTTGTTTCACTTGTGTTTAAGATTTTGCTTTAATTTTCATTTAACGATCAGGAAATTATATTTCATGTTCCATTTTGTCACTAAAGTAGACAAAGTAAGAAATTAGTTGTAATTGTGAAGAAAGTATTCCTAATTGAATCTCTCCAATTTTACATGGTCCATTTACCAGCACCAGTATTTTGATGGAAACATTTAATTTTCATTTTAGGTACAAGGGGACCGCTGTTGTGGCAATTTATAAGGGACCTTCTCAAAAACCCCACCTACTGCCCCCGCATCATCAAGTGGGAGAACCAGAAAGATGGCGTTTTTAGAATCATCCACTCAGAGGAAGTGGCTAAACTGTGGGGAAGGAAGAAAAGCAATCCCATAATGACCTATGAAAATCTGAGCAGGGCTATCAGGTCAGAGAAGGAAAAGTTTACAAGACTGTTCACAGAATACAAAAGCTTCTAATGTTCTATAAAAGATATCTAAGATATCATTGAGATTAAAGACTGAACTAAGAACTTTAAAAAGTGACATATTAGGGGATTTTTTTTTGAGTGATAGATTATAAGAAATTAAGATTGAATTTTGAAGACCTTCAATTTTATTGATTGGCAGATTTCATGTACAGTAAACACAGAAGTTCTTGATAATATTCCACTATTCCCAGCCTTGTCTTGGTAACCCCTTACAAAATTTTTTTGGTACATTGGAAATATTTTCATTTCAACAATTAAATAGTTCCATATATTGTTTCATTTTTTTATTTTTTATTTATTTATTTTTTTTAGTGTTTTACTTTCTTTGGAAGAAATACTATTTCTTTAAACACCAGGGACTCATTTTATAACACAACAAACTCTTTTCACCAGGTTTGCACGCACTGCTGGCTATTTCGCTGATCTTCCCAAAGATTCCAATTACCCCAAGAAGCTTTGCTTTAAGTTTGGCCCAAAGGCTTTTGGCTGGGAGGAAGAACAGGTGAGTTGGGAAGTCAGGTTGTTCAGACGAATGTAAGGCTCCTTCTTATGATGCAATAAATGATGTACATACATGAAAGGAGTTTTTATCGAATAATTGTCTCAATGGCTTTGACACAGGTAGGTATCATACAAGAACATCCGTATTACAAGACCTTCAAAATATACCATTTCAATCTACTTTTCATTCATAACAGAACTCCTGTAGTGAACTATTTATTTTTAGCCAACACAGTGGCCCCCAAGCCGGCAGTACAGACGAGCCATGTCAGAGACTCCAAATGAAAACTTTCATTGTGGACCAGCAGCAGCAGCCATACAGTCCAGTCTTCACCTGCAGGGCTCACCTCAGCATGGGGCTGGTGTTCCACTGTATACTAACACCACTCCTGTGGTGGAGCATCGCGCCACAGCAATGCCCATTGCAGCCCAAGGTTCTCCAAAAGAGGGCAGTGGAGTCAGTGATGGCGGTGGGTATGAACACCATGGATACCCAGTCACCAGTGGTGTTGAGCATGACTCTGCCCAGCTTATTTCTAGGGGAACTCTAGGTGAGGGAAGAGTGCCAGAGATACATACTAGTATACACTTGCCTGCGGTTCACCAGAGCTCTGAGACCGGTGAAGGTGTCACAAGGAACCCAGGACATGACCAGCCTATGCAAGATCTCTCCAGCCAAGGGGAGAGCCACCTCAGCCCAAGAGAGAGGGCACAAAACTATACCGTGTCTACCATGAGCTCAGGACAGACTATGCAAACTGCTGAGTCACCATCGGGCAGCAATTATAAATCTAATAACTACCTTAGCAACAGCCCTCAGGGTCAAGGTCAGTTTTCCCAAGGTCATGGTCTTTATTTGCAAGGTCATGGTCACTATTCCCACAGACTGGGTCCTCAATTCCAAGACCAAAGTCATTACCATGAAGATCAATGTCAGCAAGGTCAGGTTGATGGCGATCACAAATTTCAAGGTCACACCCATGATGAAGGTCACAGTCAAGTTTTGAACATGTCAACTCAGGAAAGAACATCCAAATCGCCATGTGTAACGGAGAACATCAGTGTCGCTCTTAATTTGGCTTCAAGTTCAAGGTCACCCGTCAGGAACTCAACCCATTTTAATACTAACCCACATCAAGCTGAGGACCAAGGCTACGATGACAGTGTTCAGAAGAGAAATTCACTTGAAAACACCTCACAATTGGATTCAACAGAGAAAATGGAGGACTCTCAGCATGGTTCTTCTTTGGATAATGCTGAGTCTCTGTCAAAGCTGCGCTTTGATGCACAGACGAGTACAGATCCCCTTCCCATCTTCAGGATTAAAAAAGAAGTTGATCCGTGATCTTTTTCGTTTTTCATGCCCTGAGTTTCCTCAACTTGTTATTTTGATCTTGCCAATCACTTGGTGATGGTAGAATGATATACTGAATCACTGAAATTCAGGGTCCAGATTCCCATATGATGGAGTGAGTTAGAGGAAGAGGATTTATTATCAAAGGGACCAAAAATATATCAGTTTTATTTATATTGTTCGAGTATTTCATGTGAAGGGGTAAAGCACTTGTTGCTTCTAAAACAAAATACCAAGGTCCCAATTATGTTTGTGAAGTGTTTTAACAGAGAGTTTGTAATTGTTAGGTTTTGGATAGTTGAAGAGTGTTTGTTGTGATGCTTTGTGTGTGTGTGTGTGTGTGTGTGTGTGTGTGTGTGTGTGTGTGTGACAAATTTGACTAACTGATCGCTTGAAAAGAAAGCTCCCTACTTATGCAAATTGCTCATATTCTGCATTTAGACAGACAGCCACACACTACATGAAAGAAACTTTGATTGTATAAAAAAGAAAAAAAAAGTTGAAAAAAGAAATTTGAAGGCATCACAGTTCAAGTGATATAGTAGAAACATTGTAAGAAAGTCAAAATGAGTGTAATGTGTTATTGTTGTTGAAATTTCTTTAGTTACGTTTGAAATGGTAATGTAGAGCATGGAAAATATCAAGAATGTTCTTGATTATGTGAAATGGCAGCTGCTAGAGATTGATTTTAAGTTTCATAGTTAAAAATACAACATTACGGTAGCTTACCAGAGTAGGAATGTACTACATAAAAAAGTAGCAGTTAAATTAATAAGAATTCATGGAAAAATCATAGTGTTAAAGTTAAATTGATGTTGCCATTATTGGGTCATTATTGCAATTTGTAATTTAGTTTATTGTTGTATTACTTTATAACAGTTGGCCATCATGATCATAACCTTCAGTGCTTCGTTATTTTAAAATCTTAACAATATATATATAAATATTTTTTTTACTTTTTTATTGTATACTCATACACTATTGCGCATGCCACTTAACCTTCAGAATTTATTCCCTAGGTCACCAGATATTGTTTTAAATGTATATTTCATTGGTGCACCTATCGGAAGTTTAAAAAGTATTTTGCTTCCAATGTTTACTTCTCTTTCAGATGTATATTAATGCAAAAACCACCTTAAATACTGCAGCTAAATCAGGATAGAAACTATATGACTGTGTTGTTGGTTTCCAGATTGTTGGTTACCAGTTGATTTATATTATGTACCAAATGTCACAGCAACAGCTTTGAGGTGTCTTTTGATTGCTTTGCTTTAACATTTAACATTATTTATGTTTGTTTATTGTTTATAATTCATGAAATTGTATTTGGGGGGGGGGGGGGG